GTTTAGCACTCCAATAAACAACATGAAAGTGGAAGATCCAGACAATTTCTTTATGCGGGATATTCAAACCCCTGTAAATATAACTAATATCAACACGAGCGCACTAAATTTTGAAAGAGAAATTGAAAACATGCCCATGCACTCGGCCCCAGGTCCAGACTCATGGAATTCAATATTTATAAAGAAATGCAAAGTGCCAGTAGCACAGGCACTCGGTATAGTGTGGAGGAAGAGCTTGGACACGGGGGAGATACCAGATGCACTTAAAGTAGCAGACATAGCCCCTCTACACAAGGAAGGGAGCAAAGCATTGGCAAAGAATTATAGACCAGTTGCACTAACATCGCACATCATAAAAGTATTTGAGAGAGTGATTAGGAGTCAGGTCACCAATTTCATGGAGACCAATGACCTTCACAACCCAGGCCAACATGGATTTCGAGCGGGAAGATCGTACCTCTCACAGCTACTTGAGCACTACGACAAAGTCACTGAGGCATTAGAAGAAAAACAGAATGCTGATGTGATATACACGGACTTCGCAAAGGCTTTCGATGAATGTGACCATGGCGTGATAGCACACAAAATGAAGTCAGTGGGAATAATCGGTAAAGTAGGACGCTGGATACTCAGTTTCCTGTCAAACAGGACTTGGCAAGTAACGGTCAACCATATAAAATCTAGTCCAAGTGCAGTTAAAAGCTCTGTACCTCAGGGTACAGTCCTTGCACCGCTGCTTTTCCTTATTCTCATATCAGATATAGACAAATGCAAGTCACAGCTTCGTATCATCCTTTGCAGATGACACAAATCAGTATGAAAATTATCTCGGCTGAAGACACTGAAAAACTTCAAGCTGATATTAATAAAGTTTTCGACTGGGCATCAGAAAATAACATGATGTTTAACAGTGATAAATTCCAGGTACTCAGGTATGGTAAAAATGAGGACCTTAAACATAATACAGAGTACAAAACACAATCAAATGTACCCATAGTAGGAAAACAGCATGTAAAGGATTTGGGAATAATAATGTCTGACGACCTAACGTTTAAGGAGCATAACCAAGCAAATATTGCGACAGCCAGAAAAATGATAGGATGGATTACGAGAACTTTCAAATCCAGGGATCCCATCACAATGGTTGTACTCTTCAAGTCACTTGTGTTGTCCCACCTTGAGTACTGCTCAGTACTCACTTCCCCCTTCAGAGCAGGAGAGACGCGGCAGTAAAGTGTGATGTTTGCTTGTTTCCTTGTGATTGTAGGGAGTTTCTACCTCTTTGTTCGGTTTTTTGTTTTAGTTTTTTACCATGTGGGGTTTGTTTTGTTATGCCTACCTTTCTGGGTGCCTAACCCCGGTCAGTGGCAGATAAGGAAAACCCCAACCACAAAGGGTTTTTCCAGGGCCATTGCTCCCTGAAACCTCTCTGAAGGGGCCAGGTTCTGGCGCTGGTCCCTGGTAGGTCTGAACTCCTTAGCTAATGTCCCGGGCTAATATAACATACATTAGCCCGATAAGCTCCAGGGAGCCTCCGGGGCTCACCCAGAAAATGGCGTTTCATTACTTTCAACGCTGGCTTTTTGCCAGACTTCCCTACCTTATTGTGGCTAAAATATGCCACCTACGATTTTTTTTGTTATTTTTTCCGTGATCAGGGAACAAAAATGAACACTTTTATAAGACGAAAGAATTTTTTGTCTTTTTTTTTTTTTGTTGCGCCTGTGGGTGTTAAAGCCATTTGGACCCCTAGCGGTTTGAGGGTTAACCACTTAACTGCGCCAACCGCGTATTCTCAGTCAGCGGGAATCTGTGCCTACCAAGAAAACTTTTTGATTTTTCAGTACCAATTCTAAATGTGTACGAGGTTGGTTGTGTACGAAATGGACTCTTAGGACCTCAAGTGAGAGGCAGCCATCTTGGTAAAAAATCCCAGAATGCCTTAGGGCTGCTGGCTAGGTTAGTACTGAATGAGCAACCATGGGTGGCGCATGCGCCTCTGGCTCCCAAACACCTGTCCGATGCAGTGTTGAAAGATAACACTCTGTCGGTGAAATTCAAATCTTATTGTTTGAGGACCATAAGGGTCATAATATTGGTGACGCAAGGCGCAATAAGGACCTAACACAAAGGTCGGATGCAAGTGGTACAGCACCTATGAGGTCGATACAGCGAGTGTATCCAGTTGTAGCTCTGAGCGTCACTCTTGCAATCCTATGCTATCTTCAATTTATTTATATACATAGATGAATCGTTTTCTGCGTTCAGTGATGATGCATCTGGTACAAGTAGCATAGATGAACAGTGTTAGCGGCTTCCATGGTGGTGTTTTCCATAGATATTTTCAAGAATACCTGAATCTCTTCCTGACTGACGGACACTCTTTGAGGCTAGCTGAATCTTTTTCTGTGTGAGACCATACAAAGCGATCTTTTCAAGACTACCTTACAAATTGATCTTTTCCTATAATCTTTTCAATACTACCTTATGCTTTACAAGCTTGGCTACATACAACCTACAAGTACTAAAGCCAACAAGGGTGTATGTGAGTGTGTTATTTGCAAGCACTGAATGAAGAAACACGAAGCGAAAATTTATCTGCACCTGGTGCACTGAGAGCGAAGTTGCGCTGTGTACCATGGACTACTTTGTTGATTATTACTCGCTTCCGAAGTACCGAGTGTGTAATACAGTGTGTTACTGTGTAAATATTGTGTGAAACTGTACATATTGTAATTTTAGTGTATTTTTAACAGGTAATATTGCGACAATAAACATTTATTGTGGACACATTACTGACACATGTATCACAGTTGCATGGAACATTATGAACATTCTACTGTATACATATTGTAAAGAACACAAATATGCATCATCTACGATAAAAAACAAAAACAAAACCGCATTGGAAATGCTTAAAACAAATAATTTAAAATATATTTGTGGCAACACCCGGTGCTTGAATGGCCCGTGCAACCGTGTCTGGACGATTCACGCACGGGTGACCAGGCCCTGATGACGTCACAGTGCACCTTGTTCACGTCCCCACAGCCAAAGTAAGTGGAATTTGGTATTTATTTTTACATAGACATGTTCAAGGAAGGGAATTTATCATTTTACAAAGAAAAAATAATTTTTTGGAACACTATTTCATGCGCACCGGGGGAATTTCACAATAAACTTTGATTAAGGGGCCCTGGTGCTTGTTCCAAATCTTCCTCACACTCAATATTTTTTTGAGTAATATCTTTATGGTAAATGCCAACTTTTCCTAATGGATTAACATCATACCATGAAAAAAAAAAAAAAAAATTCACAATTTCAAATTAGCTTTAAAAATATTAAAATATCACCAAATGTTATTTTATTCATTATGGTCTCAGAATGGCATATACTGTATAACATTCATGTTCCTCACTGAAAAATATTGTTTGAGAGTATAGTTTACTGTAAACAAAATTTCAATAAGCCCATCGAAATATATGGAAAATTTAGATGCAAAAAATGTACAACTCGAAACGTTATGGCTTTATGATTCAGATCGTGAAGACACCTTAGAACTAAGAATGTTGCACATGTGTAAAAATGGTGAGAATCGATCAGAAACTGAATTTTTGATGCTGTCTCAAAGTTGAAAATAATGTTCACACAGAAAAATACAGTTAAAGTTCTTGACAATGAATATAGTACACTGTACTGTACTTCGAATTTATGACATATCTTGTAAGTTTTAATTAAGATTGTTTGGCATTCGTACTCGAATACGTGAAAGTTGTAGATCAATGTGTGTTAAAATGAAGTCAAGAAAAAATAACCCCCAAAAGAAACATAATATAGTGATAGGTTAGGGATAACAAACATATATATTGCAGTATATATTTATTGCCAATATATAAGTGATAAGGCGTTCATCTGGTCGTCATTCATCAATACAACCTAGAGAGACAAAGAGAGTAGAGTTTGAAATCTGAAAATAGATTGGCCCAAACATAATAAGTCGCAACTTCTGCCACCTGTGGCTGAGTAACATGTTGACCAATTTCGTTCCAACTTCACATGCTTAGTGCCGGATATGCAATCTCCAAGATGTAGAAGTCACAACAAAATCTGCATAAAAATAAAGGAGAGGGGACAAAAATATGGTTCCCAGCTTTTCATACAAAAGGACATAAGAAATATTGCCATTGGGTAATGTATTTATATGATATATAATAAAAATACAGTACAACAACATACTAACTCATTATTATGTGGGAAATCTGGCCCTCCAGGTGGCACCAGCTGCATATCCACGTTGTGGGCCCTCCTTACTACTACTCTTCTTTGTGTGTTGGACAGGTGCTTGCATCTCTTTATTCCTGATTGCCAGTAAATAGGTGGTGGTGTTATCAGTTCCGGTTGCTGCCTGTCATGCATGTATTTATTTTTAAAACACTTATAACAGATCCATTTCCAAGATCCAAAAGATGCAAATTTTCACGACGCTAATGCCAAATAAAGGGAGGTTTGTTTAAATTTTGTTCAATATGTTTTATATTTGGAAAAATACTCCTCAGTCACCAGGCCCCTTCAGTAGTTATACACATACAGTATATACATACAGTCTACACCTCCTGTAGTGTTTTAGTTTTTCCACGCTAAGTTAGTACGGTACTTTCACATGCACAGTTACCTTTAGAAAGCTCACATGCACAGGTATCTGTAGAGAACCTAGAAATACACATGTTGAAATTACTGTATTTACTTCCACATATAGCGAGTATATAAATGGAAATTTAGATTTAGGAATTTCTGAATTGCAGTGTTTAATTAGTTGTATTCATACTGTCTTTAACCCTAAGTCCATTGTTCCATTTTTCATTGCATCATGACTTATTTCTAATTCTCTATACTGATCTTTTTATATAATTACAGTACAAACTTTCACTGTTTGTAATCCATAAAACCACAGATTTTGCAAGTGTACTGAATGATTTTATATATTGATCTTGTTTATGCAGTGACTCCTATACCAGAGAGCTCGCCTATAGTGGAGAATAAACCAGGAGATGCCGTATCTGCCATGTGCCAGGAACTCTCGGCAGGATTATCCCTTCTCTCCAATTTCTCGGACCCCTTCTCCTCCCCAGAGAGTACTTCACCTGCTCACAATGCCTTCACTACAGCAACCACCACCATCACAAGCTATACTAATGTTGCAAGCACAGTAGTGTCAAATCAGCATGGAATACCATCACAAGGAGGTAAGAATATTTTTTCTGCATTCATATTTGACTTAAAATTATTTAAACTTTTGAAGTGCATATTTGAAGAATATTGTAATTGAGTAGAGTATGATATTTAGAGGTTTAATATATTAATTTTGATTTAACTCTTAAATGTTGGCTCTGCCATGCTATGTTATTTAGGGAAGTGGCATATGATATAATTTTCCTAGCTGGATGCATCAGTAGCTTCCCAGTGGTTGAGGCTCTTGTCACCATGGAGATTTCCACCCAACCTTTCTCCTGGACTTGTAAGAAACCAGGATCAGAATCTGGTTTGCTCAGAGATGAGGGGAGTTTGAAAATCAAAGTTAATCCAAGACTGAAAGAACAGTTTTGAAAGTCATAACAAAAGAAGAGAGATCACCACTATATTGCACATTCTCTTGATCACAACACATGTGCAACAGGAACTCCAACAGCTTTCCAGAGAAACTGCCTCCTACAGCATGTTTGGGAAGTGGTGGGGTAGAGTGGGAAGCACGCCCACATGTTCTTCCTCAGCAGGCCATTAACAACTCTTCACTCTGGATGAATGAACTCCGGTACCCAATACCTACCATACACTCAGTGACTCGCTTCTGTCACATCTTGTGCAACCCACACAAATATAAATGAGAGGCTAGGATACCCCTTACGGCTTGTAAGCTTACTCGGGCATCTTGGCCGTAGCTCTGTGCTGACAGTGGCTTGAGGTTCTCTTGAGATAATTTCGGGGCTTAGCGTTCCTGCGGCGCTGTCCTCGACGAGGCCTCCTTTTTTGTTACACATCCCCAGGCAGCAGCCTGTAGCAGATTGGCTAGCAGATGTCAAACTCCCAGGTACCTATTTACTGCTAGGTGAGCAGGTGCATTAGGGTTAAAGAAACTCTGCCCATTTGTTTCCGCCTCTATTGAGGATCAAACCCGAAACCTTAGGACTAGAATCCCAGGCACTGTCCACTCGGCTGTTAGGCCCCTATCTTGCAGTGGCACTGCAGGATCTCACCAATGACCTAGACAAACAGGCTCATGTCCAGAATTAACACACGTGCAAAACCAAAATGATTTCATACCTCTCTCTCTACACCCGCATCCTCTTCCTGAATTTCATCTCCCCATCCCTCTACCTCCCTCATCCTTTCCAATCCCTATGGACATCAAAGCTAAATTTCATCATCTCACAGTCCGTCCTCACAAGCATTCACACCGTCACTAAACGTCGTTCTAAATTGCACGTACCTAACCAAGGACCCACGATTAGGAAATGGGACATCACATCAATTTTTGTGATCACTATGATTATTAATACATGAGTTTTTGGCCTTTGGGGATTTGTGTGTCAATGCGATGTATTATTCGAGAGGACAAGTTGATTTTGCATCATCTGCAGAAATGTGCTAAGCTTAACCTTTCACATTATTCAAGAATCAGTTATAACTCTGCTCCCACTGGGTCAAAAGATAAATACCAGAGAAAGGAAGGACACAAAAACAGTTCATAAAGTGTAATGTAAAAGAAATACAGAATTCATGTGATGTTAGCAGCCTAGTTACACTAGTAAGTAGTTATGATAAGGTTTATTTCTACCCTTTCATTTTTAAAAAGTACTTCACCCAGTTGTATAGGGCTGTAAATACCAGCAAAGTATTTTAGATCGTGGTAAGTATTTGATGTTAATTTGAAGCAAACAGCTAAACTGTTTACTCTAAATTAACTGGGACAGCTAGATTGTCTCGGCCAGTCTAGCCACTCATGACTCCAATGCTGTGTGTCCTGCCCGCACCTCGTGGGGCCTTTGTTGTTGTTGTCGCCTAAACTCTGATCCAACAATGGCTGCCTGCTGGCTTTATCTTGTATGTTTATGCCCTCGGTGTTTCTTAACCTCGGCTCCATGGAGCCCTAACTTCACTAGGGATTCTGCAAGAGATAGTTATAAATAGACTAATTCTATTGATATGTAATATATATTTGAGTCATGTTTGTGTTAAATTTTCTCATTTAACCAGCATCAAGAGCAAAGATAGAAACTGTCTCTTTTTCAGTTGTCAATGAAATGTGTGTACAGTATTTGTCTAATGTACGAACATAAATCATTTCAAGGGTATTTCCTAGGGGGTGATATCTATCCCCCCTCCCTAATTTTGAATGGCTGCTTTATACTTGTTCTGGCATATCTAGTTTTACAGAATGTCTTGCTTTACGGTCTGTCTTGCCTGGCGGTCTGTCTTGCCTGGCGGTCTGTCTTGCCTAGCGGTCTGTCTTGCCTGCCTGGCGGTCTGTCTTGCCTGCCTGGCGGCCGGTCTCGCCTGTCTTGCTATAGCAGATGTGGCTATGTTAGTGAAAGGAAATTTAAATGTAAAAGAAATAATCCTTGACAAATAATAATGATGATGATAATAATAATAATAATAATAATAATAATAATAGAAATAATCCATGTAAACATAATTGGACAAGAGAGATGTAACAAGGTAAAATAGTGCTCATCAGTGTCACAAAATAGCAAGTACCACATGGACAAAGGAAGAAATAGACAACAGATGAGAAAGTTCTGAGTGAAAGTTTGAGTGAAATAATAAAACAAAAAAAAGCAGACGAGATATAAAGCATGAGTGAAGCTATTTGGAGACTTTAATATGAAAACAATTGAGAGAATTCTATAAAGCAATGAAAGTAGATTTCTTGACTGACGTATTCATAACCGTCTTCTTGGAAGGATTTATGTATCGGCATGTCGGACAACCAATGAGAGCGAGTGAAGGAGATATTCTATTGATACCTGACCTAATATTTAACAGGAATGAGGAGATCTTTAATATACAGTGCCTGTCTTCAATAGATAATAGTGACCATGTAATCTTTAAATTAAAATATGCAATATGAATGGTATATAGAAAAGATATATATATATATATATATATATATATATATATATATATATATATATATATATATATATATATATATATATATATATATATATATATATATATATATATATATATATATAAAATATATATATATATATATATATATATATGTCGTACCTAGTAGCAAGAACTCACTTCTCAGCCTACTATTCAAGGCCCGATTTGCCTAATAAGCCAAGTTTTCATGAATTAATGTTTTTTCGTCTACCTAACCTACCTAACCTAACCTAGCTTTTTTGGCTACCTAACCTAACCTTACCTATAAATATAGGTTAGGTTAGGTTAGGTAGGGTTGGTTAGGTTCGGTCATATATCTACGTTAATTTTAACTCCAATAAAAAAAATTGACCTCATACATAGAGAAAAGGGTTGCTTTATCATTTTAAAAGAAAAAAATTATAGTAAATATATTAATTCATGAAAACTTGGCTTATTAGGCAAATCGGGCCTTGAATAGTAGGCTGAGAAGTGAGTTCTGGCTATTAGGTACGACATATATATATATATATATATATATATATATATATATATATATATATATATATATATATATATATATATATATATATATATATATATATATATATATATATATATAAAGCATACTAGTTATGCCAGCTACTGGAAGGTAGTTGTGCTTTCTGGGTTCGAGTCCCACTGGTGGGTGTTGTCCAAAGATTGTTTATCTTCACTTGTGGTTTATGCAAGTATAGGCTTATAAGCTGGACACGAGTTCTCTCACATTGACAGTGGCTTGACGAAAAATGCAGACTGACCCCTCACTCATCTGGTGCCTTCGGGAGGTAGAGATGTTTGAGATATATATCTCGAACTATCTACTTCTTTTGTAAGGTCTGATGGCGTAGTGGGTTAAAGCATACTAGTTATGCCAGCTACTGGAAGGTAGTTGTGCTTTCTGGGTTCGAGTCCCACTGGTGGGTGTTGTCCAAAGATTGTTTATCTTCACTTGTGGTTTATGCAAGTATAGGCTTATAAGCTGGACACGAGTTCTCTCACATTGACAGTGGCTTGACGAAAAATGCAGACTGACCCCTCACTCATCTGGTGCCTTCGGGAGGTAGAGATGTTTGAGATATATATCTCGAACTATCTACTTCTTTTGTAAGGTCTGATGGCGTAGTGGGTTAAAGCATACTAGTTATGCCAGCTACTGGAAGGTAGTTGTGCTTTCTGGGTTCGAGTCCCACTGGTGGGTGTTGTCCAAAGATTGTTTATCTTCACTTGTGGTTTATGCAAGTATAGGCTTATAAGCTGGACACGAGTTCTCTCACATTGACAGTGGCTTGACGAAAAATGCAGACTGACCCCTCACTCATCTGGTGCCTTCGGGAGGTAGAGATGTTTGAGATATATATCTCGAACTATCTACTTCTTTTGTAAGGTCTGATGGCGTAGTGGGTTAAAGCATACTAGTTATGCCAGCTACTGGAAGGTAGTTGTGCTTTCTGGGTTCGAGTCCCACTGGTGGGTGTTGTCCAAAGATTGTTTATCTTCACTTGTGGTTTATGCAAGTATAGGCTTATATATATATATATATATATATATATATATATATATATATATATATATATATATATATATATATATATATATATATATATATATATATATATATATATATATATATGTCGTACCTAGTAGCCAGAACGCACTTGTCAGCCTACTATGCAAGGCCAGATTTGCCTAATAAGCCAAGTTTTCCTGAATTATTATATTTTTCCTATTTTTTTTCTTATGAAATGATAAAGCTACCCATTTCATTATGTATGAGGTGAATTTTTTTTATTGGAGTTAAAATTAACGTAGATATATGACCAAACCTAACCAACCCTACCTAACCTAAGCTAACCTATCTTTAGAGGTTAGGTTAGGTGAGGTAGCCGAAAAAGTTAGGTTAGGTTAGGTTAGGTAGGTAAGGTTGTCGAAAAACAATTAATTCAGGAAAACTTGGCTTATTAGGCAAATCGGGCCTTGCATAGTAGGCATAAAAGTGCGTTCTGGCTACTAGGTACGACATATATATATATATATATATATATATATATATATATATATATATATATATATATATATATATATATATATATATATATGTCGTACCTAGTAGCCAGAACGCACTACTCAGCCTACTATACAAGGCCCGATTTGCCTAATAAGCCAAGTTTTCCTGAATTAATATATTTTCTCTAATTTTTTTCTTATGAAATGATAAAGCTACCCATTTCATTATATATGAGATCAATTTTTTTTATTGGAGTTAAAATTAACGTAGATATATGACCAAACCTAACCAACCCTCCCTAACCTAACCTAACCTATCTTTATAGGTTAGGTTAGGTTCGGTAGCAGAAAAAGTTAGGTTAGGTT